GTCTGCCAGATGGGAGCCCACCAGAGAGCATCAACTTGGACAGTTCAGCTTGAGTCCCAAAAGGCTCTAAGCCAGGAGCTTTGTCTGGCGGGACTGTGGGGCAGAGAGTCAGTAGTCAGCCGATACCTCTGCTGGGTAAGGCTGCTTCTGCCGGGAGAGTCCACAGGTTGGCAGTTGGATGTGGGTATGTAGAGGCCGCCCTCCAGCCCCAGGTCAGTATGAAGGCCTGCACCTGCGGTCCACTGACTCGGTTGCTCGGTGAGGCCGAGTCTACCCTCTGTCGGGTGCCATGGGGAGCTTGGGTGTCCTGCCGCCGCCAGCGCGGTCATGCTTCCGGCGGAGTGGCCTTCGGCCTGGGAAGGCGTTTAGGACGGCCAGAGTAAGCTGCCGCTGTGTGGTGAGAGTGACTCTGGATGGTCGGTCGTATCATGTGGGTTCTGTGTTTCTGCCACTGTGGGGGGTGTCTTGGCAGATAATCCCTGTTGGCTCTCTGCCCAGGTGGGTAAGGTGTTTGCGGGTTGGGTGTTCGGTGGGGGGTTGTGCCCAACAGGGCCCCATGCACCCTCTGTCCTGCTTGCCTCTGTCTGCTCCTCTGTCCTTCAGCTGCCGCTGCGGCACGCACTTCCAACTTCTCCCAGAAATGGGCAAAGATCTCATCGATCCAGCATGGCACACCCATCAGACTCGGTCTGCCCCGTGTCTTTTGTAGGAGCTGAGTCCGCCATTTTGAGAGAGGTCGTAGGGTAACAGGCTCCTGCAGTTTCAGCTGCCTGCTGTCCGCTGGGTAAGCGAGGTTGCTTAATGTGGACCGGGATGAGGAAACTGTATCAGCTCTCTAGTCTTCCCTCACCCCATGTTCAGGTGAATGGGTTACCATGACTACAAAAATGCATTGTTTTAGATATACTTCAGCATGCTATTTTATTCTTCTAGATGTTTGTAGAGTGGGATGTACTCCTTGATTTTCATAGGGAAAGTGACCTCTTCATATAGGGATTCTGCTGCCTTCTTATTTGTCAGTGCTGACAGATATATAGAAATCTTCTGGAAGATTTCAGGAATCTCTGCTGAGATGTTGTGAGGTACTTTTCTTTTTTTTTTGGAGGGGGGGGGGGTGTGGAGGCTTCCAGCTTTAGAGCCATAAGCTTTCCTAAAGAGATGTCTTTAGGAAAGCTTATGGGCTCCCAGAGTAACCTCTACCTAACATATCTGTCCCTTGCTCTCTCCTAAAGGGCAGCACTCTATTCTCTCCTCCAGCTCTGCTTCACTCCACCTTGTTTGATTGCTATCTCCTCTCCTGTTGTGTTTTATGCCCCACCTCCTATAGACTGTAATCTTGTTTGAGCAAGCCCTCTTCAATCTATTGTTCCTGTACGTTTTTGTAATTGTCTCAATTATTGTTAATATTGATAATATTATAAAGCGAATATGTTGGCGATATATAAATACTAGTGATAATAAATAATCGAGTCGACCCTGCTATGTGTCATGAGAGTTAGAGGAAATTTATTAAGCTCTGCAAAGTTGGGAAGTGTGCAAATTAAATGGAAAGAAAAATGTAAAATTCTAAATGTTCAGGTATTTTATTGCTATCTTTATGTAAACATATATTATCTAATATTAGTAAAAAGTGTGTCCTCTATTTGGAAGAAATTACCTCCTGAATATATGGGCATTAAGAGCAACTATCTTTCACTTTGAACCACACTTGTATTATTTTTTTCATTAAGCGTTCTTTTGTTGAACAATCTATTTTACCAAGACATTTTGTAGAATGCTCCACAAATGTTCTATTGGGTTTATTACCAGGCCAAGCACATAGACTTCTAAAGGTTTAAAGTTATAGAAATAAAACATCTGAAAATTATAATGTTTTGGTATTTTGTCCCAATTCATTTGCAGACTAGTGTATAACAGTTAGTACAATTAAAGTTTATATCATGATGAAGTTGTCCCCAAGTCTGTAATCTTGGGCAACTGTAAAGTGTGCATGCTCCACTTTGTTACCCTCTTGCTTCTTTTTCCTCCCCCTGTAGGCTGCAACTTGGAGCGTACAGTGGGACTGCAGGAAGGACAAGCAGCTTCAGCCCCACAGGGACAGATTTCAGCACTAAGGATGTAGATAATGATAGATGCAGCTGCAGATGTGCCCAGATGGCGAGCGGAGGTACGAACAATCCCACATTTATCATTTCAGTCTTTCAACTATGTTATCAATCAATGTCACACTTAACCCTTTCAATGTGTGGGTGCCCCGGCACTGTCTATCATGTCACCTTATTGTCTCTGTATCCGACATCTATGTTTGAGTGTGTATCTATGTAGACATCGTGTAATATGCCATGTGTTGTTGTTCATAGGAGGTTGCATTTAGATGCTCTCCTATGTATTACACTAATAACATCTTCAAGGTATATTTTTTTTGTTATAATATGCAATTCTAAATGAAGAGCCTAAAATGCAGTCATCATGGACATTAATCAAATTGTCCTTCCTATTAAATTGTTATTTTCTGAAAGACACTTTCCAGTCTTTGTCTACAATTACATGGCATAAATAACTGTTATTTCTTCCCTAGGTTGGTGGTTTGATGCCTGCGGCCCTTCTAATCTAAATGGCATCTATTACCCTGGTGGTCATAGTACAGCCAAGTTTAATAGTATTAAGTGGCACTATTGGAAGGGTCCTAGCCATGGCCTGAAGACTGTGAGCATGATGATCCGACCTGTAGACTTCTGAGGCATGAACAGACTGAAGTTATCCTTTGTGATTTATGGCATAGGGCTACCAATCAGTGATTACCATGGATCAAGTCAAGAGAACTAGAAAAGCATTGCTTTTGATCTCATTGGATTCTTAATGTCCATGTTCATTAAATGCTAACTACGCCAACTAAGAAGGCTAGGCTGTGTATGCATCAAGGAAGACTAAGCCTTACAGAATGCATAATTTGTTGCCTGCAAAAAACAAACAAAAAACTTTCATTGTAAAAGTAACATGATTCGAAAACAGTTCTGCTGCACAGGTTCTAGAATTTACTCATTTGTATCATTATCACTGTTATTGGAATGGTAATTAATCATTAAACAAGAAAATTCTTTAAAATAAGAATGGGCATCTTATATAGAAAGAGCACATCGTTGTGTTGCTGGTGTTATGATATACTCTCACCAATGAGCAAACATGTACTTAAATCATAATCTTGCACTTTTATTTTACTTATTAGTCTTTATCTAAACCTCGTGAATTTAAAATGTTCAATGGCGTTTTAATATAGAGTTAACCATTTTACAAAATGCTGTGCATCTGTAAGCTTCATCTGTGAGAACCTTTCATGCATGATCGTGTACGGAGAGCCATTGGATATAAATTTGTTCAGTATAATTTTGTTTTCTGATTGGGTCGTAACAACATTTTTCATTTCAGTGTTGATGATTTAACCTAAATTTCTGTTGTGCAACTGTACACATATGTGACCCAAATGGACATATTGCCTAGGTCTACATACTTGTTTCCGGCTGTTAGTGATTTATGCACAACGTTACATTAGAACCAATGTCCCATAAGATTCCATGACACAATGTCCACCTACTCACTTTCTATATAGTAGAACTTCAAGGATTTAAGCTGCAGAGCAGCTGATACCTAAGTTGTCAAATGGACCTCAAACCTCGGAAGAGTTAATAGTAGCAGGAGGCTAGGTTTTGCATTCATTTAACGTAACGTATCTATAAAAAGGATTTTTTAAGCTGTATAGCTGTACATGTTTTGTTTACAAGAAGATAATGAAGTACATTATGTTAAAAGAGCCCTTATTTATATATGTTCTCTAACTTCCTTGCATTATTAATCTAAACCATTATGACCTGGAGAAAATCTGAATTCAAGATACACTTTATTGTATGTGTATGCTGTTATTAAATATTTTTTTTCTATTTTTGTTTGATATTTTATCCTAAAAACAAAATAATGGTAGAAATGTAACTCCCATGTAGTTGAACTTAAAGTATAGCTTAAAGGACCACTATAGTGCCAGGAAAACATACTCGTTTTCCTGGCACTATAGTGCCCTGAGGGTGCCCCCACCCTCAGGGTCTCTCTCCCGCCAGGGCTCCCTCGGCGCTGGGACTCTCCTCCCTCTTCTTCCGCCATCGGCTGACTGCGAATGCGCGGCAAGAGCCGCGCGCGCGCATTCAGCCAGTCCTTAGGAAAGCATGCTCAATGCTTTCCTATGGACGCTGGTGTCTTCTCACTGTGAAAAGCGTCTCTAGCGGCTGTCAATGAGACAGCCACTAGAGGCTGGATTAACCCATAGGTAAACATAGCAGTTTCTCGGAAACTGCTATGTTTACTGCAAAAATGGTTAAACCTAGCTGGACCTGGCACCCAGACCACTTCATTGAGCTGAAGTGGTCTGGGCGCCTACAGTGGTCGTTTAACCCCTTAAGGACCAAATTTCTGGAATAAAAGGGAATCATGACATGTCACACATGTCATGTGTCCTTAAGGGGTTAATGTTTATGGTTATTTTGTTCTTAAATTTGAAATTTACTTTGAATTCACATTGAATACTCACTTTAGTTAATAACCCTGTGTGTGTCACTATACTGACCAGCTTTGTACTTTGTTGATTCCTAACCTTATCTAACCCCATCTAAACCTGTCTAAAATTAACCATATCTAAAATAACAAAAAGTGATACGGCACTCCACCAAATGTGTTTTATTCATATGGGCTTGCCAACATTAGTCAGGTTCGAGGGTTTTTAAAGCATATATATAGACAGAACATGTGAAAACATTGTCACATCCATAGAAGGGACAAAATATTCTGAATGCACAGCCCAGACCCTCCTGATTTTACCTCGACTGTACCTCTTCACCACACTTCTCTCTACACAGATGGTTGCAAAGCCGACTTGGAATAGACTTCGGCCATCTGCTTATGATCAATTTTCAACTTGTTAAAGTTATATATGGCCAGCATTTCCATTTCAGGATAAATGAAATCATATCTATATCATCATAGAGACTGATATAGATCCAAATATTGATCTTTGTTATATTCAGAGGAAGCCCAAATTATTATAACAAGTGCACTTGGAGAAGCGTGAATTAGACACCAGGGGCTATCTGCTAACTAGACATATATGGTGTGTTAAGTGTCATTTTAAGCATCAAGCATTTCCTGAGTCCAAGTTAGCCAATTTTAATATAGGATATCAAAATATGACACCTATAAGCTTGAGTCTTCGAATCAAGATACATTAGATCACAATCCCCTCTTTTGATACAAGGGTCACCCAAATGTCCAAGGTATTTCCAGACCTGCTAGCCAAAGCCTGTGAGACTTTCATTCATTTCTTCACCATGGTTCCCTTGGACTGAGAGACCACCAGAATCAGACTTTTTGTGTATATACACCCTTTTCACCCTGTTTTACATTTTTCACATTTTGTGCTAGCAAAAAAATATTTTTTTTTCTTTTTCCATTTTTGTTAGTTTTTTACTTTTTCATTTATATTTTGTTATATCATCTTATATTTTTCGACACCACAGGATTTGTTCAGACCTGATTTATGGATCTCACCTATGCTGATTAGGACATATCAGTCTATGCTAGGAATTATATACTATAAATTTGCTCTTGATGACCAGAAGCCATGGAAAAATACAGCTGAATTTCTCTGTCCTTTGTGGTTCTAGCTAGACTACTTTACTAGGGGGTTTATATCAGTTTTTATTTGTTTTCTTGTATATATACATTTTAATATGTATTCTTTCTCTATATTTACATATGGTTTTTGTAGACTAAGCACTTTAACTCATTCTTGCACATTGGTGTTGGAGACATTTGGCACTTTAAATTTTTAGGCACTTTCTTCCTGGTGGACAGGATATCTAGTCCTCTAATTTTCCTACACCCAGTCTTTTTTGTGTACTAGTCCAGGTAGCCATATGATGTTACTTACACAAGATGGGAATCATACTTCTGCCCGTATCACTATTTTCTTATGCATATTAGAATTGGCGTATATAGTGATCTTAGTGACGTGACAATGTTTTCACATATTCTGTCGGTATATATGCTTAAATACCTTTGAACCTGACCAATGTTAGCAGGGCTACATGAATAAAACACTTTTTTTTGCATTACATTTGGTGGAGTGCGACATTGCTTTTTGTTATTTTGGAATATCTATGTTTGTGGTCTTTGGTGGGAGAAGTTGATACCAGCACTATCGATTTAGTTGAGTGCAAGCACACTCTAAATATTTAACCATATCGAGCCCTAGCACTAATCCTAACCAAAACTAACTCTAACTCTTGCAAACACCAACTCTAACAATGCTCTGTTTAGTGGATTGGCCCCTAGCTGTATAATCACCCATGGAGCCAATCACAGTAATGACATGCCTTCAATGAATGAGAGCTCTGGAGAGGTATTGTTGGTTGTCCCAATGCTTATCTCATGCCACTGGATGCTTCACAGCACAATCAGTGATACCTGGTTTTGAATACTACTTGTAACTGTCCACATCCAGGGTGTGGTGCAAAAAGTGGCACTGATGTACCTTGTGTATTGGCTGTCACTAAGGAGATGTAGGTGGTTTGGATGTCCCTACATATTTTCCATTACAGATTCATGCTGGGAAATATATAAACACGAGAAAAAGTGACATGCACACTATCCTAAATTCATATGTACATAGAGGTAACAAGTTTGAGAACTACAGCAATGGTCACTCAAGAGTAAGCTCGCCCGCCAAAGTCAATGCTAACAATTTACCTTGCTGCTTTTAATTTAAAAGAGACACAGAGTACCAATACAGCTGTTATATATTTGATGGTGCTGGCTTTGCTTCCTTTGAAAGGGGCACACCGTGTACCAATACAGCTTTTATGCATTTCATGGTTTTGGCATCATCTTGTGGTATGTTTTTTTCATGCTCAAATCTGAATTGTTGCTGCACAAATATGTTTTGCAGAATGCTGCACCATAGGTATATTTAGTTAGTCACACTCTCACTCCAGAAAAAGACTTTCTTCAAATGGATGCACACAGCTCAGACACCAACAGCAGTGGCAAAGCCTGAGTTACGGTTGCCCCCAAATTTTTATCTTGCAATAGCTGGTGTGAGTCCTGTTCCTGGGGTGCAATAGGGATCTTCTCCCTGAAGTCCAGTGACTGCTGAGTTTCACACTGTTCCCCTACACTTTGTTTAGATTTGCCGGAGTGAAGTCATATTCAAGCTCCTGGGATCACTGCAGGGCACGAGGGAGCTGTGAGGAACTGGAAGAACATCAGCTCTGCTTTCTTAGAAGTATATTTATGATATAAAAGTTAACTTTTTTCCTGGTATCTTGCTTCCTGGTAGCTACATACAAATTTGTAGTATTCCTAAATTTTAATGTCTCTGTCACTATCTAGTTTTGTATCCCTATTTGTCATAAAAGTAACAACAATGATTTTCTTCACTTTTTTCCAGTGACGATAATCGTTCTGTGCATCTCACATATTCTCCTCTCACAATGTCATCAAGTGAGCATGTCCTCATCCGCAATGGTCCAATCCAAATCCTGATAGAGGAGCCCTGGGGACATGGTGTGCATGTGCGGTGAGTTCGCATCCAAACCTCCCCATAAGAAAGCATAAAGTCAATGTTTTCCTACGAGCTTCCACGTCACATAAGACAATTTTATGGGGGAAGCACCATATTGACAAACACTAGAGGTGGGTTTAGCCCTTCAATGTAAACATTGCAGTTTCCCTCCCAAAATATTGTTTTACAATGCATAGTTTAAAGTAAAGGACAACTGCATCCAGACTACTTAATTGAGATAAAGTGGTCTGGTGCTTTTAATGTTCCTTTAAAAACAGTTCACTAAGTACTGCTCAGTGGCGTACATATAGGGGTCGCGCAGCTGCGACCTGGCCCATCACTCCAGGCAGCCCGGCCAGCATGTGGACCCTTGCAACCGGGTACCAGCCGCCATGTTTTGCGGCACCGGTCTGCGCGGCAAACCGCCAAGGCCGCACATGAAGGGGCCTATCGGGTGGCCCATGCTGTTAGGGCCACCCGATGGGTATTGATTTCCAGGGGGTCCAGTCAGCGCTTCAGCGCTTTTACAGCGCAACCGGGCCCAGTGTGATGAGATCCCTGCTGGGAGGAAGTGTCTGCCCTGCTCACTCCTCCCAGCTATCAGAGAGCCGCGCGGGAGGAAGGAGAGGGAGACAGAGTGGGAACCACAGGGAAAGTCACCCTCCTGCGCCTAAAAGGTAGGAAACAGGACGGTGACTTAAACATTTTGTATATGTGTGTTTGTTTGTTTGTTTGTTTGTTTGTATGTATGTGTTTGTGTGTCTGTTTGTATGTATGTATGTATGTGTGCCTGTCTGTTTGTATGTATGTATGTAGGTATGTGTCTTTGTATGTATGTGTTTCTTGTGTGTGTCTGTCTGTCTGTATGTGTTATGTGTATGTGTCATTTTACCCCACTCCCTCTAGCATGTAAGCTCATTGAGCAGGGCCCTCAACCCCTCTGTTCCTGTGTGTCCAACTTGTCTGGTTACAACTACATGTCTGTTCGTCCACCCATTGTAAAGCGCTACGGAATTTGACGGCGCTCTATAAATATCATAATAATAATAATAATCATAATGTGTTTCCGTGTTTATGTCTGTATGTATGTGTCTGTGTGTATGTATGTATGTATGTATGTGTCTTTGTATGTATGTGTGTGTCTGTCTGTCTGTGTGTGTGTCTGTATGTATGTGTCTTTGTATGTATGTGTGTCTTGTGTGTGTGTCTGTCTGTGTGTATGTGTCTGTGTGTGTGTCTCTATGTATGTATGTGTCTGTATGTATGTGTCTGTGTGTATCTATGTGTCTCTGAATGTATGTGTGTCTGTATGTATGTGCGTGTGTGTCTGTCAGGGGAGGGTGAGTGACAGGGGAGAGGAAGGGGGCAGCAGGGAGGGACGGAGGCGTGTGAAAGGGAGGGAGAGGATCCGTTTCGCACTAGGGCCTCATGGATTGTGTGTATGCCACTGGTACTGCTGGTGGCTGAGCTATGTGTATCCATTTGATAAGGACATCTTTCTTGTATGGCAGGGTGTGGCTAAGGTAGGAAGTGTATGGGGAAGCATTCTGCAAAACATTTATATGAAAAACTATGAAGGTTTGAGTGTGCAAAAAATTTAGCATCTACATTTGTACACAAAACTATCAAATGCATAGATTTTGTGTTGGTGTCCAGAATATACCTTTGAATATACCCTTTTTCTTGGAATCTGAATGAAAGACCTAAGTATCAATTCCAGCCACCCCCATGGACCATTTAACCCAATGTGCAAATGAGGTAGTGTACACAGGAAGGTTATATGGGAATAAAAAGATGGAAGAAAGTCTGAGACCAGAAAATGTCGAAGCTTCACATTCATGTAAACAGGTAACCATACAAAGTTTCAATCTATGTACATTTTTTGTATAGAAGACTGCCTAAATAGACATTTTTGTACTCCAGTTGGGGATTTGACTGAGATTCTAGTACATGTTTACATGAGATCAATCATGTATTCATGCATGAACAATTTTAGATATATTTGATTCAAACACACAAAATTAAGCTCTGCACTCAAACTCTACTCTTGGGCGACAACAATGGCAACAATGTTCATCAGCCAAAATATCTAGCACTAGAACAAAAAAGTCTTTAAAATGAAATCCCACATGCTCCGTCAAGGCAATACTTGCTTCAAAGACAATATGGGAGACTCCATGAAAAACAAATACACAGCTGGTAAAATAATTTAGAACGAGGGCCAAGTATTTTTTTGGCATCTGTGACAGATCACCTGGCACCCCAACTGGGCAACTCTGCCAACAGATGCTTCCTAGCTGACGCTGAGGACCATATGCACCGCAACGGACACCACAAGCACCGAAGACTCCACAACCGCTGAAGCTTAGCTGGGATCTCGCCGTCTTTCTCTCACGCTGGACAAACCTCAGATATCCAGGACCTTGGGGGAACGACCTCTCCTACTTCAGAGAATGTAGCAGGAACAGCTCTTACAAGAGCTAGTAGTGATATAGCAGTTCCCCTACAAGCAAATACAAAGCTATGTGTTGAGGATTAAGCAGAACTCAATTTTAATGGAGCCACACTGGCCTTTTATGCAAGTTTCCCAACAAGGGTGACACCCACGTGGACCT